CCCCCCCCCCCCCCCCCCGCCCGCCCCCACGAATTTCGAATATTGGCAGAACAAATATTTGTTCCAACCTTGAAATCATTTCCCACGACATACCAGGAGTTATTGTAAGAAAATGCTCTTTTAATAGTAGTAAAAATAATATTCGTGGGAAAATCATTTTACTGGTTGTCTACTTGTAGTTGTGTCCTCAAAACCCTAATTTTTTAAATGGAGTTTAAATTTCAGCTATATTTTGCCCAATTAAAGTTAGCACTTTTGTAGCTTGATGTAGTTGTTGCAGACAAACTCATTTAAAAAGTCGAGATTAGTATCAGCACGCTGAAAAGTTGAGAGAAATCACCTTACGTATGACCCTCAATGTTCGTTAGTTGGATACTTTAGACCGATAGGCCCAACACTAACGGGTCATGCTTAAGTGGAATTGTGCTAAAACGAAGGTTTGTATTCAAATGTGATTTCGTAGTCATTTTAGGGAATATAATCAGCTAGTTGAGGGTACATATAAAGTAATTGGACTTGAAGTTCTTTTTATTCAGAATACGATTAATTTATTCAAGCATCAAATTTACACTTACAAAAGTTTGCCTTATTTCTCAATCATAATGTCTGTTTCTAATTGAATTTAAGTATGCCTCACCACCTGAATACTTAAGCTTGTCAACATGACAAGAATTGTAAATATTGATTAACTTGAAGCTGTCTTAAAAACATCTGCTCATTTGTATTACCCCAACCTCTCTTCCCACTCCCCCCCCCCCACCTCACCACCCTACCTTTTCAATCTTGTCCAAAAAGGAGAACAGGATTTAAGCTTTTCCTATTCTGCTTGAAAGTACGTGTCACTGTGGCCAGATTATAAAATATATTGAAGGCCTCAAATTACCTACGAGATTGCAAAGGAGAGGGAAAAATGTTAATTTTGACAATCTCAGATGTGACGAATTTCATAATTATTCAAACCTACTGCAAATCTGTGTTGAATACAACAGCTAAAAGCTTTAATGATGGAGATGGCACCAATCAATTGAGCTCTTTTAATTGACAAATACTTGGTGTAAGATGTATATCCTAACGATTAATCGATTCGCCTCGGTTAGGCTATTTACTTATTCATTCATTAGATTGCGTAACTAGTCAAATGAGATATTCGGTCACATATGCATATTTTCTGAAATTTTCATTTTCCTCCGTTTGAAATAACATCTGTAAATGTAATGACTCGATTAGTGAGTAGCACAGTGGTTATAAATACCTCAACCATGAAGGAAAATTCCAAGCTTAATCGATTATTCGAATAGTCTTAGGTAATCTTCGATGGTCTGGTTAACTCTGTAGGGAATTTATAACGTACTCATTATTAACCATTCGTTAATTCGATCACCACATCGCCTGTAATTAGTTTGGCATACCCTCCTTCGCCAGTGATCTATTTATCCGCCCACTCACACTGTCTACTTGGCAGACTTATTCATTTTACTAACTCAAGCCAAGTATTCACCCCACCTCACCCTCACCCTCTCCCCCTCCTTTTCTGTCTCTTACTGCTGTGAGAATCAATATAGCAGCAGGTAGACGGTACATCTCAGCCCTGCACTACCGATAACCTCTTCACAACAATCCTATTATTGTCTTGGATCGTCGTATTGACAGAACTATATAAATCTCCCTCCCTCTCTCTCTCTCTCTACTTAAATACTCCTCGTTAAATGCCTATGGAAAAAAAATTGGTAGAAAAAACTCAACATTCGTTATAATTTTATTTACCAATAATAAAATATTGTTGCTAAAAAGAGACAGAAATCGAAGCAAGCAAAATAATAACATACTGCCAAAAAATATAATCGTAAATAGAGTACATATTGGTATTGTAAATTAGAAATTCGATCAATGAATCATGGAGCACAGTAACTCACGTTTATGTACAGAAATGTTCGACGGAGGAGGAGGGGGGGGGGGGGGGGGGGGGGGGGTAGAGGAGGGTAAATTAATTCAAATCAGATCATCAGGGTCGGGAAGGAAATTGTCTATACAGAAGAGAATGAGATATAGGAAAGTGGAGAAGAAGAGTCTGTTTAGTTCGGACCAAGAGTTGTGGAAGTACTTGAACCTGTAGATGCATGCGAACTACCTCGACTCAAATGTGTTCCAGTACCTTGAAACGAGGAGTTGAGTTGATCTGTACCCATTATACTGTTCCTAAGAGGCGGATTTCGCCACCCGCAGTCAGTTGATTGCATCTTCTTCTGTTCGTAGATGGAACTAATTCGACGGCATATTCCAACTGGAACCTCCTGGGCTGGAGTAATCTTTTTTACATCAGGGAACACGACATTAGCATTTTCATCTAGATAAATAGCTGTTGGACGTTGCCGCACTGGAGCAGGCTTGATTTCTTTCACCGCATCAGATTGTACTCTACGTGAACTTGCTGAAATACCTTCTGTCTTATCATATTTCACAGGTGCATCAAAAGTGGGAATTTCATAGAATCCACACGTCCAACGTGTTTCACATCGATGGTTTCTTGAACTAGTTCTTCGAGCAGACACAGTATTCCACGGGTAGTCGGTCCCATCAGAATTAATATTGTTCTCATGGAATGTGGGAAAATCTTTTAAATCATCCACCCTTTTCCTCGTTATTATCTGTTTATTTTGCAGATTTGCATCTACATCACTAGTCGATCGCTGAATCGTAGGGATATTAGTGGTAGTTTCAACAGATTTAAGTTTAGATTTGGATGGTGCTACTAGGCTCAAACTATCGTAGTCCTCAAAACTGTCGCCAATCATGTAACCTCGTCGGTCATTTGGACTCAAACCTATATCGATAGTGCAAGATCGAACTGGACTTCGAGATGGGTGCCTCCGTCGTGAGAAACTTCGTCTACGATCAACCACGGTAGTACCAGTTAATGAAACAGTGTCCTTGTTGTTCATACTGCACTTCCTTCGATTTTCACGAGGAGAGAGGAATAAGGTTTGAGGACTGGTGTATGCCCGAGCTGGCAGTGGTGGAGGGATATCTGAGTCACCTGGGTTGGGCGTGATACTTGTGACAGGAAGGCCCGGTGAGCAAGAGGTGCTCTTTCGACGATTTCGTGGTGGAATTGGTGGTGGAAGATCAGAACTCTCTTGACTGCTTGAAGACTTTGAGTCCTTTTTGATGGTTCGTAAGTACCGTCTGAAATTACTTACGACTTCCACCGGCTCTTCGACACTGTGAGAATGGACCAACCAAGAACTACGTTTCTCTTTCGCCTGGAGTGGTTCTACCAACCTTAAATAATGGGAGCATACTTAAAAATAGAATCACGTCAACTTATTTGATTGGATAAAAATTCATCTGTGGTATAAGCTCTAAACCGTTAATAATTAGGGAGGGGGAGGTGAGTAATGCCAAGACAACGGATGAAGAGTTTATAGTGAAAATCTTGTAGACATTTCGCGTCCTGACACGTGCTAAAATCTTTGGGGACTTACGAAGTGACATTGGAGGGCACAATTACGAAGGAAAAGGAAATGTATTTATAATAAAAAACAATTGCGAGTACTTATCAAGTGAGGGGTGTGCGATATATTTACCTCCACGTGGTGCACCCTGGGCAACGTATACTCATGCCGCAAAAATGTCGATCAATTAGTAATTGATTTCTGACTCCAAGCTACCACCACCCCACTGTATGTCATATTCGACTACTTCCTTAGTACTCATCTCACCTTTTTTTACCTTTGTGTTTGTCTCTTTAACACCTTTTAAACACTCTTCTGTTCCAACCCCCCCCCTCTCGACTTTTTTCACTTTGATGTTCCTTCCCCTCTATGAAGCCTGAAGTCAACTAAAGGGCTACTGATAACTATCAAAACGCCTGCCATTTGATATAAATATAAATAAACTTTTCAAGTGAAAAAAAAATAACAATTTGAACAATAGAAATAGGAAAACAGCAACTGGAATTAGGAAGCTTTATCTTATCTCGATTTGAACAGTCCAAATACTCTTATTATGATAATTCCTGTCAGAATTCAATTAAAATCGGAATTCAATACAATAACCCACATCGAGTTTTGAGCTGTTTCTTTATCATTGATTTCAAAGTTAAATAAGCTTAATGAAACCATGTTTCTCGTTTTGGAAAGCAGAATTTTATATATTTAGGAAGATAAAATTCCCCGTCACTGTAAAAGTATAATCCGCCAAAAATAGTCTGTTGAAGCGTATGTGCGACTTATTCAAGCAATTTACATAAGAGGTTATACAGTGACCGAGTCGAGCTTATAACCATGTTGCGCATCATAGTAAATGTATACTCGCATGTATATATATATATATATATATATATATATATATATATATATATATATAGGTCTGCAAGAATTGCCGAAGACATTCCTTTTTCTTTCCCCCTTGCTTAGTGTATCCACAGGGCCTGTTTCTTTAATACGCGGCTACGTGACCATTACTACCACAATATTAACTTGAAGGTCATTTGCCACTAGCGACATGGAATTAAGACCAACTTCGCTAATTGTCCTCTGCAAATGTAATAGGTGATGACTGTGTGAAACACTTTCTACTTAACATTCTTTAAAGGCACTTGTCAATTTCTTTCCACCGTCAAACTCCCACATCTTAAGATTCTCCATGCCTCTTACGATTCCCATTTATATCCACCCACATCTTTCCACGCATCTGTTCCATCTCTCCTTTTATCAGTACCCCTGACACATTCCGTCTTCATTTGAAAATGGTGAAAATGGTCGCGGTTGGAAGAACAACCGATTAACGAGGTTTTCTGCGTCTTTCAAAAATGTGCCATTGCTCTAACTTGTGCTCCAATGTATTTTTTTCTGACTTGTGTGTTTCGCTTTAAGTAGGTTTTTAGTAAGATAGACAACAATCCAGCTTTCATTTAACGAGTGACTGCCAATACGCCTAAAACCTGGAATGGCTTCGCATCACTAAGTTGTGCCATTTGTGCACTTTCTCAAATAAACTGCGTGAGGGGTAGTGAAGAGGCTCTTTTTGAAAAGTACGCGATCATGTGACAGTATCAAGCGCGCATAGATTCTGACCTACGCCCACCCATAAAATACGAAATTAGGCGTGACAAAAGGTAAAAGAAAGCATGTTAAAAAAATAAATTACAGAAAATTTATCTCTCCTCCAATTTGACTATCCATTTATAAAGAGGTGAAAATGTAAAACAGGGTATTTGCAATTATTAGATGATTGAGTATGATTGAGTTTAATGGTGAGGTTTGATGAATTTTTTCTTGTTCTCTCTTTCAGATACATTTAACCTCTTAAAGTATCACAAGCTGAAGATCCCTAAAACCCATAAAATTGTATAAACAACTCTAATTGGAAGACCAAACAAGAGAAGGGTCCAACAATGCATACTACGAAATCAGTGGTGAGGACGGTCCACTAATTTGAGTGATTTAGGCAAGCAAACAGAAAATTCGAACTCAAGTTTCTCATGATATAGGTTTCTTACAGTTTACTCACCCAAAGAGCTTACGGGGTGACTACTAACGCATGAGAGTTAAGAGTAAAGCCAATGTTGATGCTGAACAGGTATGCTAAAAGATACATGCGGTAACCAGTGTGAATAATGCTTTCAATTTGAAAAGACGCATATTTAAGCAATGTATAGGCTCGAGAATATGATTTTGTTGTTGATATCAAATTGGAAAATAGAAAGTTCCAGTTGGAGAGGAAAAGTATAATAATAACGGTAGCTAGACGACTGGAGCTAGCAAAGCATATCAGGTAAATACTGATAACAAATTAAATTATGGCAATTATGTCACAGTTCTAGAGTCATGGTTTCATCATTCAACAAACGAATCGGAACTGTTTTGTGAGGTAAGCAAATGTAAAACTTAATTAAATGCGAATTCCCATCCACGAAAGATTATACCCTAATCAAATTTTGATTCAATAGCCTGTTATGGACACAAATATACTTATTTAGGAGGTGTATAATGCGTCATCGATCACAACTAGAGCTGAAAAAGAGCCCTTGGTCTTTAGAATCAACCTACCATCTCCTGCTAATAGTTATTCTCATAACTTATTTACAGTCCTTAGGAATTTGGTCTAAGCCAAGAAGACTTGGAGGTATTGGCTAATTCAGTTCTGTGTCATGTTTTGTCGAGGTGCATATGATTACCCTATACGCCAGACATTTTAATCATCAGTAAAAGTACTTTTTATGCTGGTTCTGGCCTCAACAACTCGGCATTGAGCCAAATGGCGAAATCAAAGTACAAACTAGTCCACTTCACTGGAATGTCATATCTTAAATGAAACCGAACTTTACCCATTATTTCTGCGTCATTTCTATAGAACTAGGACCTTTATAAATGACCTTTTTTACCATTATCAACACGAATTTGGTTGCCGTGCCAACAAAGAATTAAGAGAGGCCAGTAACGTCAACCTTTTCTTTATATCATTTCTGAGAAAGATGCTGTTGCCCTGGAATATTTAGCAAATGCCGTTGGAATCACCAAACCGCCCTATGACATCATACATATTTCTCAAAGTAATTTCTTTTCTACACAATACGAGGGTGAACACACATTAAATCCTTAAGAGTAATAATTACATACTATGAAACCGAAATAAATTGTGATAAGAATAAAAAGAATCCTTACTACAGCATGACAAGGACAACAATAAATCCAAAAGCCAACCGACCACAAGTCTCTGAATAATCCAAATGGGCTCAAATTCGCTCGTCGTTCTTATGGTATGAAAACGTACGATGATACTGGAACCTTGAAAGTCGACTTGACTACCGCTTTTATTAGTACTGATTGTCGGACATGAAGTGATTTCATCCAAATGAACAGTGTTTAAAAAATTAATAGAGACATTACTTTGAGATAAATTAATTGCTTCTCGAAGCTATATTAATTTAGATATTAGGCACTATAAAAGTATCGATTAAATGTGCCCTAATTATTTGTAAATGGAATAAAATGCAAGGAAGTCTTACTTTGGACTTTCTATTGGTGGGTTCTCTGTTGGCGTGCTCCTCTCTGTTTTTGCTGAAAGGAGAAAGTTTTTTAATTACACATATCTTATTGAAACAAGAAGGAGAAAAGGGGGATTCAAAAACCTACCCTCTGGAAGCTCTAAGATACTAATACCCTCAGGAGGCGGTTTGGAGGCACTCTCCCCATTTGGCCCCTTAGGAATCATCTGTCCCCAAATTTCATCAAAGAAAGCAGACAGTTTCTGACGGAAATCGGTGCTGGATTCACCGAGCACGCAGATATTAGTGAAAGGACCCAGAAGGCAGGAAATTATCGAGGTGCACATGTTGCTATCTTCAACAGAAGGAGCAGCATTTGGGCGTTCAAGAAGATTCGGTCCCCACACAGTTGCGAGAGCCTCTACAGACATCTTGTTCACGGCGGAATTCACTCGAATTTGAGCGAGAGTGAAAAGTAGGAAGGTAAGAAGAGACTGATTGATATCGGGAAGTTCTCGTAGTATTCTTGCAAAAGAAGTTAAAATATGATTAGAAATCAGATTCATGAGATTTGTAATTTTCTATAACGAAATCTTCTTATCTACGGGGTACGGGATAGACTTACCTCCACGTGATGTACCCTGGGCAACATATACTCATTCGGCAAAAAGTCTTTTATCTGGCAGCTGACTTCAGATTACCATGACTGGACTACTTCCACAGTATTCACCTTACCTTTTCTTTACCTTCGTGTCTGTCTCTTTTACGTCTATGAATCAATCTTCTGTCCCCTCCCCCCTCAACATTCTACGACTTTGATATTTCTCCCCTCTATGAAGCCCGTAGTTGACTAAAGGGCTAATGATAACAGTCATAAAGTCTTCGATTTGATATAAATAAATACCTTTAATCTACACCTAATCTATGAGGCACAAGGTCATATTTGTCTTCATTTGTGTTGCAGTACACTTGACAACCGTTTACCCCCACCCTCCCCCCCATGTGCGGTTTTGCCTCAGAATGCATCATCTTTCCATTTTGCATACTAAAAACATTCGATGAGCGAGTCTTATTTGCATAAGTATGCTAACATCAGTGCAAAGCCCATTCTGTTCGAGTAAAGTAATGCAGAAACGAAGATAGAGCAAAATGTCGCTTGTTGGTGACTACGCCGTTGAATTTTCGGATGTCATTGATCCAGTAGGCACCCTTTTGATAAAAAAGGAAATAATTTAAAAAACTAGATTGTACAGTTTCAACAATCCTATCTATTACCCAAGACCGGGTAAACCGCTATTGGCCGAAATATGCATTCGCTCATACAACCCATAAAAGACTTATTGAAAGAAGTCAAATGTGCAAACGTCTTGTAGAATTTATGAGGCACTTTAAGAGTGAAAGTGATTTAGTACGTCAAGTATTGGAGTATTGAGTTCAAACAGGAAACAAAATTTATTTTTACAATGTGGGACACGCCGGAAGATTTCGACCATGGATTGTCGCAACCAAACATCCGTTCAACAAGAACGTTGAACACCGATCATTGCATATGGAGGAACATCCAACATTACGCTCGTCAGTGGACCAAATACTGCCTCACTCGCTCAGCCGGCAAGGTCCACAAGCATGCACGAAGTCCCAATACTACTGCCACCAACTCCAACAATCCGGTCTCAGCAGTTCCAATACCTATCCTACCTCTACTCAAAATCCTGTTAACCTAAGGCCCTCTCAACTAGTTGATTTTGTACATTAACTAATTATCGAGCGTTTTCTCTACCTTTCAGCTCTCTACAAACGCTCTAGGGGAGGAGTATTGTGGGACAAGCCTTGTGGGACACGTCATCGCATGCCTGCACGCCAGGACTGGGAGATGGGACACGTCATCGCATGCCTGCACGGCAGGATTGGGAGGTGCTACGTCATCGCATGCCTGCACGCCAAGATTGGGAGGTGCCACCGTAAAAACAGTGACCGAGCAGTTTAACCTAATCCGCCATCCTGATCATGATTAAGCTCCCCGCGTGCACACTACTTGATCCGCAATATACGTCCTGAATAAACGTGCTCCGTCACTTGATCCGCAAGATACGTCCTGAATAAACGTGCTCCGTGCACACTTTTCTGATCATTACGTGACTGAATATACGTGTTCCGAATTATCGTCTGTTTCCTTTATAGCTGGGCTATAGCTTAGCTAGTTTCGGTCTGTTTCCTTTATAGCTGGGCTATAGCTTAGCTGGTTCGATAGCTTAGCTTGTTCTGGGAGTCTAGCTAGATGTTGGAGAATTCTCCGTGCTACTCGTCTGTTTCCTTTATAGCTGGGCTATGGTTTAGCTGGTTCTGGGAGTCTAGCTAGATGTAGGAGAATCTCCCTGGTTCTGGGAGTCTAGCTAGACGTTGGAGAATCTGCCGTTCTGGGAGTCTAGCTAGATGTAGGAGAATCTGCCACAGATATAAACGCGCTCCGTGCTACACGTCTGTTTTCTTTATAGCTGAGCTATAGCTTAGCTGTTCTCTAGCTAGAGGTTGGAGAATCTGCCATAGAGATTTCTGATTCCTAGCTAGATGTTGGAGAATCTGCCATAGAAATTTCTGAGCCGGTAGCTAGATGTTTGAGAATCTGCCATGGAGATTTCTGAGTCGGTCTTGAGAATCTGCCATAGAGATTTCTGAGTCAGTTAGGCTTTACTAGCGTAGCAATCCGCTACAACAAGGTCGATAAATTCGTTTGAGCTGAAAACTCACCTAAATAGATGTCTTACCTAACTGGACTTGGAAATACGATTCAAAATGCAAGTTGAAGGAAAAACGTGTTTAATTTGCTTTGAAGATTACAAAGCCTTCAAAGCATCGGCCTATTGAACCATTAAACATGGTACTCAAATTCAATCTCTACTCAGTTCACATATGGAATATGGACAATGTAGTGGGATCGATATAATGCCTGTTTTCCTATACTATTAGGATTCGTCTTAAGTGAACTTGAATGAGCTCTACCATGCTAGAAGTTGTATTTGGTATACATCCAGCAATATCAGCTATGTGATGGAGGAGATTTCTTTTGATTATAATAATTCAATTTTCTGTAAAATGCCTATTCTTTTACTTTGGTTAACTCAGTGTAATATTACTTCTGAAAATCAACAGATTTATTTTTTCGGTAAATGCAATGTAGAATTAAAAAAAAACGTGCACATGAACTCAGACCTTCGATCGTAAATCCAATATCTAGACTAACTCCAAATCCTCTGGTCTTGTCTCCAGCCGAACGCTCTAAATAATTTCAAGGAATTATGCCTTTAGGATGAAAGGGCTCCTGCTACTAATTGGAAAAGAAATAAATCTTGGCTTTAGGGTTAAATATTGGCAACTATTATCCCCTATTTATCTCGCTTTGCTAAAATAGAAGGTTAGTCTAATGGCGGTACTTAAGGCATCAAATAAGGTGATTGTCTCAGTTAGTCTTTTCTGGAAAGATGAAAACTTATGTTTTGATAGCCATTCCACTTTCGAAAGCTTTTTTTTGCTATGATCCTGAAATAGATCAGAAGTTTAACGACATTCTTTTCAAATGTTTTTATTCACCCTCCCCCCGTCTGCAGAATGTTGCTAAAAAAACGAACTCGCACACAGCTGAATGGCTTTCCGAGTAAATGAGACTCATAAACAAATCTCAACGGATGTCGATTTTTCAACTTGAAGTTAAAATTCACAACAACCACGTGACTACCACTAGCCCCGCCAATAGCACTCTGGGATTTAATTTGAAGTAAAACAGTTTTAAAGGACACCTAGTTACGATTTTCCCTTGTTTTACAATGACGTGGGAGAATATTTCGACCTCTGAAACTCAAAGAGTGAGGAGGATGTCGTCATTCGGCTTCGCCTTCTTCTGTAATCAAATTCATTGGAATTGGATAAGGCTAAGAAATCACAAATGAATGTCAACCAGCACTTTTGACCACTAGTATTTATAACGCTTTCACCCGCATGTCTCAAAAAATCTGTGGGAAGGTGAGTTGTGAGGACATTAAGCTTAGGTAGACATTTTGGTCTGACACAATTCCCTTTAAATATTCAATTGAAAGCTAATTACAACGTAGGATCGTTAGTTTTGAATGAATTAAGTGAGTCTTGACTTACTTTTTAGCATAATTCGCAATCTCTTCATCGGTTTTGAAGGTTATCAACTTGCACCATTCATCCCATTTGTCATCAATGAGAAGGTGACCTGGTATTTCACTGAAGTATTTCTAAGTGTAATTGAAGATGAACTGGTATTAGGAAACCTATTGCATCTGAAATCTAGTGAATTGTGGCACTGTCGACTTACCTTTAGGATATTCGCAGCACACAGCGGAGAACATTCATCAATCGTCAACGGATCTTCATCCGTATCAACTCTTTGAATCATTGTTTGTAGCTGAGACATTAGGACAGATTTTCGAAAAATTCCTTCTGTTAAACTCCCCTTGTAGAAGACAACCACAAAGAGACTCTACAGAGCAATAGGAAAAAGGCGGAATTTGAAATTCGCTCCAACTCTTTGCAAGTTGGTCTATTTTAATTTCAACGCACCATAACAGACATTGAGACCCTGCAATCTGGCCACGCCTCTTTCGGAAGCCGGCCGAAAATACCAAATTGATTGGACAGGGTGTCCTTGTCATCTAGCACATTCTCTTCGTCATTTGAGGCTAAATTTCCCCGAGAGAAGGGAAGACGCAGACGAGACCTAGATCGACCTTTCCCACTACTGTTAGCAGGGGCCCCAGTTGCACTGAGATTGTGAGAGCTCTGTGAAAGACCTCGTAGATGCGGACGGTGGGAACGGTTAATTTCAGGATAAAATGTAGATTTCGGTCGATCAATGAAATTCTTGATGGGTTCAAAGATTTCCATTTCACTTGGTAAGCGTACTGAACGATGTAATAGGGAAGAATTTATTCCATTGTTAAGGCTCTCTGTAGGGTGGGTGGGAGGAGGGGGGGGG